AGGCATTTAGCAGAGGACTAAGGGAAACATGAGACCCCTACTTCAGTGTTAGAGCAGTAAAACCTTAAGGGTGTGTTTGGTTGGGGGAATGTGAGATTCCCATGGGAATGGAATCCACATTCCCCTGTTTGGTTGGCCGGGAATGTCATTCCCGGTAATCTTACATTACCAATAGTGAATTTTTTGGGGTATATTACCGAGAATGTCATTACCTCCCTTTCCTTATGTATTGTTGGATTATCGGCGTTTTGGACTAAAATGCCCTTAATTTTTTTTCTTTCAGAAATATCCTTATTCTGTCATTGAATAATAAAAATTATACGAAGGTTACATTACAAATTTATCCTTAAACTATTTTAGATTTACAAAAAAAATCTATAATTAAAATTTTATATGAAGTTCAAGGATTAAAATAAAATTTTACCCTTTCATTAAACCTTTTTATATTTTCAATTTTGTAAAAAAAATTATATAAATTTTATGAATTTAAATTTTTTAAAGAAAATATATAAATATTTTACAACTTGTTAAAAAACAAATATATAATCAGGACAATTTGGTCAAATATACATTCCAATAATCTTTTATTCCTTTAACCAAACACGATAATCTTACATTCCTACTAAACCAACCAAACACAAAATACAACATTCCCAGTAATCCTATTCCCTGGTAATCATTTATTCCCACTGATAATCTTACATTCCGTGAACCAAACGCACTCTAAGTAGGTAGCACTTGATCTAGGTCATGCATGCACCAACTACTTAGTACCATGACTTCAGCATGCTTTTGTTTATGAAATTCTTATGTTGCTCTAGATTAGTGATTATACTGCTGGGCTTTGTAAGCTCACCTTTCGGATGTTTCCGTTGGCAAGTTAGTAGCTTGGGCAGTTCGTGGAGCACCGTCGCAGTAGGACTTCTAACATCTCCGACAGAGTACTGTACTGTAACTTTTAGTGGGCATGTGTATTTATAGAACCTTACTTATGTATATAAGTTGCAAAATTCAATATGCATTATTTGTTTTAAATTATGTGTCACGGAGCTCCGGTTTTGTAAAAAAATTATAACATTTATTTATATTTTATTATGATATGATTAAGTACTTTTGAAAAGAAAATGAACAAATTAAAAAAAATCAGGAGTTGCATCGATAGCCCAGTGTGACACTTTTGGCCCAATTGGGTTTAGGGTATTATAAACATTTTTCAGAAATCAAATTAAAAAAAACAAATAGACTTATCAATTGAAGTACAAATAAATTCACAACATATCTAAGAGAAAACATAATGAAACAATCTGATGTACGATGATAAACAACTAGACCTCAAAGTTTTATTGTATTTCTTAACAACTTTCTCATCATTTCCATTTATAATGACTGCCAACACCAACAATACAATTGACTCCATATAATATAAGTTCTTAAAAATATTTTTATTTTTTAATATAATTTATTATTTTATAAATTATATATATTAAAATTTTAATATAACTTTTGTATTTCTAAAATATATATTTAATTTTTCAGTAATTTAATTTTCAGTAATTTAATTTTTTAATTTAATTTTTTGATTATTTGAATGCTTTTATATTTCAAAATTTAAATTTAAAGTATTCTTTTAAAAAATAAATGAGTCCCTGAATTTTTTAAAACAACTAATATGACCTTCAAACAAGATAAAAAATTAATTTAACATATCTGCCATGTCATTTATCACATCAACAATCATTGTTGACAGTCACATTAATACTATAAACTATCACGTCATAATCATAACAATTAACAACAACAAAAATATTGATCAAACGATCTTATGAGTTAAAGAATCAACTATATCAGAAATCATTGAATTTTAGTTAATGTATTATTTATATAATTAAATTTTATGTTGTGTATAATTTATATTATGTATACTTTATATTATTAAACCTTTACTTTATCCAATTATAACATCAAAATTTGATTTTAACTTCAATTATGTCACTCGACATTAAAATTCAAATGGTATGATGAGGTGGACAAAACGATATCGTTTTAACGATGACTAGTAATGCTCACAATGACCTTATTTTAGGAGAATTATAAGGAACGACATATTAATATAAGACTAAAAAACGGCGTAACTGAAAATATGAACAAACCTTTAACAAAAAGGTTTAGCTGCACCTAAAATCAGGGACGGAGTCAAAATTAAATATTGAGATGAGCCGAAATATTAGACTATTTAAGAAAAATATAAAGATTTATTAGGTATTTAAAATTGAAATTCAGCATGAACAAGCGACCTTAGTGATTAAGGGGATTATTGTTATCATTGAGGTCTCGAGTTCAAGCACTGCGTATGAAGGAGTATGAGCGTTCATTGTCAAATAGTTGAAAGTATTTGTACATATATTACCTTGTATTCACCTTAAATTTATAATAAAAAACTCAAAATTCACAAGACAACTTCTAATTTGTCTAATGTTTAAACTTACAATGACCTGAATTGTAATTAGACTAAAAATTTGATAATACATAATTATCATTCTTTAGTTCGACCACTACTTGATTAAATATTTAATAAATTATATATTTTTTAAATTTCAATATTTATTTTTACATGAACCAAAATACTATTAAACTAAAATTATATTGAATATACAAATTTTAACAGAGACCGGGGGCCCTTGGGCCCTAAAGGAGCTTCGTCCATGCCTAAAATGTTAACTTATTTGTAATATACTGGGTTATAACTATTTTAAAATAACTTTAGATAGTGTAATCGGGAAACCTATCTTACAAGTTAAAAGCATAACACAAAATGTTATAAAGCGAAACTATAAAAGTTTTCAGTGTTGTAACATAATAGGTTACACCTAAAACGTTATAAAGTAAAAAAAATTATAAACAATAAATGTTACGAATATTATTAATATTTTAGGTTGAGCCTAAAATGTTATCAAATTTTAAGCTAATAGAGCATTGGATTTTCTCATGATAAGAAAATAAGTTAAAAATTGAAAATATTATGAATATATATAAGAAATACGGTTGCCCCTAAAATGTTACCAAAGTTTGAGCTGATGGAACATTGGATTTTCCCAAGATAAGAAAATAAGTTAAAAACTAAGAATGTTATGAATATACATAAGAAATACGGTTGCACCTAAAAATGTCATTGTTCACTAAGAAATAAGCTGCGAACTGGAATGTTAATATTTTTATTAATAAAATGGGTTGCACCCAAGAATATCATGGTTCACTAATAAATAGGTTGCGATTTGGAATGTTAATAGTTTTATTAATAAAATGAGTTTTGCCCAAGAATGCCATGGTTCATTAGGAAATATGTTGCAATCTGAAATGTTAATATTTTTTAATAATAAAATAGTTACACTCAAGAATGTCATGGTTCACTAAGAAATAGATTGCAATATGAAATGTTAATATTTTTATTAATAAAATAGGTTGCGTCCAAGATTGTCTTGGTTCACTAAGAAATAAGTTGTGATCTGGAATGTTAATATTTTTTTAATAAAATGGGTCGCACACAAGAATGTTATGGTTCACTAAGAAACAAGTTGCAATATGGAATGTTAATTTTTCTATTATAAAAAATTCGAAAGTGTGGATACTTTCCCAAAAGTATTGATACTTTCGAATTTAAAAAAAAACATGAAAAATGATATTTTAACTTTCAAAGTTAAAAGTATTGATACTTTTGGGAAAATATTGACTAGAAAAGTATCCATACTTTTGAAGTTTTATAATAGAAAAATTAACATTTCGGATCGCAACTTGCTTTCTTAGTGAACCATAACATTCTTTTGTGCAACCTATTTATTAATAAAAATATTAATATACCAGATCACAACATATTTCTTAGTGAACCATGATATTCTTGGGCACAACCCATTTTATTAATAAAAACATTAACATTCCAGATCACAATCTATTTCTTAATGAACCATGACATTCTAGGGCACAACCTATTTTATTAATAAAAATATTAACCTTCCAGATCACAACATATTTCTTAATGAACCATTACATTCTTGGGCGCAACTTATTATATTAATAAAAATATTAACATTCTAAATCTCAACCTATTTCTTAATGAACCATAACATTATTGGACACAACTTTATTTTTTATATATATTCATAACATTTTCAATTTTTAACTTATTTTCTTATTGTGCGAAAATCCAATGTTCCATCAGTTTAAACTTTGATAACATTTTAGGCACAATCTAAAATATTAATAGTATTCATAACATTTACATTTTATAACTCATTTTCTTACCTTGTATAATATTTTAGTGCAATTTGTTATGTTACTACATCTGATAACTTTTTCAGTTCCAATTTATAATATTATAGGTTACGCTTTTAACCTATAATATTTTTTACCGGTCACACAGTTCATTAGTCTTATTTTAGGCGCCTCACAAAAGAATCCCTCCTTATTTTAGGCAATGAATTTTTAGGAATGATATCAGTAATCGTAACAAAATCGATATCAAATCGTTCACGTTTCATTCATATTTTTCCTCCTAATATACAAATTAGGTATAAAAAGAATAAAAAATAGGTATAAAAAGATAAAAATAAAAAGAATCTTATTCATATGATTGAGATCCAAATTAAAAAATATGATGAATTTTAACTATTTGATTAATAAAATTTTACATTATTTTGTAATTTTATCCCTTATTTTAAACAAATTCTTAGTATCTCATCATAGGTGGATGTTAATTATTTAAAATTTTATAATTAATTATTAAATTGTATATTTTTATAATAACTAATTATTTTTATTGTATCTTATATTTTTATTATTTTATAAATGATTATTTTTATTATTTTTCAAAATAATAATTAGTTAATTTTGATATTATATATATATATATATATATATATATATATATATATATTCACCTAGATATTAGTTTTGAGATTGAAGAAATAATTAGGGAACGATTGAGCCAGACTCAGCTTGAAAGGCCGGCTGAAAGGAATATCTAATTAGAAGCAGCAACTAGGATTGGGTTCCATAAGAAACCGGTTCAATCTCATCCCACTCCTCTCTACCCGTCTACCGGCCATCAATTATTTCAGGCTTTGAAATATAAATAAAAATCCCAAAAGCCGGTTCCCACTTCCCAAAGCCAACTTCGATATGGACGATAGTTTTAAACTTCGAGTGCAAAAACTCTTCGGATCTCTCCAATCATCGCATTCTTCATCTCAGCAGCAGCAGCGGCCCCCTCTCTGGTCTCTCTCGGACGACGAGATCGAGAGGAGGGAATGGAGGAGAGAATCCACCGTCGATCGTGAGGATATATTGTGTTCGTCGTCTTTTGATCAGTTCTTGAAGGAGGAAAGGAAGTATAGGAGTGGGAGGCGTAAAGAACTGGAGGATGATCTCGATAACGATGACGGCGACGGCGATGATAGAGGTTCGAGTCAGTCGCGTAGTAGAAAAATCGACGATCATGGAGATGAGTTGGATATCAGATCTTATATTGGAATGGATTCCACTCTCGACAATGAGGTATATTAAAATTCGTTTCGTTTTCTAAACTGTATAAAATTCTTTAGTTATTCTTTGATTTTGTTTTTTAACCGTTTGCATCCTGTTTGGTTGTTGATTCTGGTCTTGTAGGAATATTATCTTGTTATTTAGATTAAGATTTGTTTTATTATCGGGGCGGCTAAGTTGATTTTTTAAGCAAATACTTAGATGGGTGGCCTTAGAAGCTTTTCTGTCTAGAGAAGAGGATTATGCGAACGTTTAATAATTATTACGCTTTTGAAATTAAGATTACATTACATGTAACGTGAATCAAATATGAATTTGTTGTATGCTATTTGCAAATTCAGAAGCTTCCACTTATGTTCGGAGAAGGTGTAATTAATCAAGGATGATAGGAATGAATCAGGTTAATTATGGTGGAAGAACTTTTTTTTTAAATTTAATCCGTATTTCATGTATTAACAAAAGCATCAGCAATTACAAGAGCATTAATACATGAAGGGAAATTGTGATCAAATAACAATGTCTGAGCAGTGAGAGATACAAAGCTTGCTATAGCGAGCGCAACACCATTCGCCTCCCTGCGAGTGTAGGAAACTGTAACTTGCGGATGAGCATCAAGAAGCCGCCTAGCCTCAGACAAACAAAACCGCAAAACACTTCGAGCAGATGAAGAGCTCAAAAGCTGATTTACCACATTGAAAGCATCACTCTCTACAACAACACTAGGAACAGTTCATCTTCACCGCCAATCGGACACCATGGAAAATAGCTTGAGCTTCAACTAAACTGGCATTACGAACACCTGAAGCAGTTTACGAACACCATGGAAGAACTTTATATATAGATGATTGAAAACCTGCAGTCTTTACCATTTTATATAGATGGATTCATTAGGCACATCTGAAGCAGTTTACGAAGATGGTTTGAAACTTAGTATCATGCGTTTACGGTGTTGAATTAAGCTAAATTACATTGTGACTATGGCCAACTTTAATTGTTCTCACATGAATTGATTTATTTATTTATTTTTCGCTCTACCTTTATTCATGACAATAAAAGTAATTGTACACGTTAAGTTAGTATAGGAGATATTGTTTCTTAGATGTTTAGTGCACTTGTCGAGAATTTGATGAATATTATGTGTCCAGCGTGCCTGTGAGTTTTCATTTTTGTGTTCAGAACACACCCCACCTGTTTTTCTGCCTCCAATCTATTTGCAGTTGAGCTGATGTTTGTTTACTGTGTGTGACAGGAAGAGGAAGATGAATATGACATAGTGGCTTCAGGCAGGGAAAAGGCAGGTGAACGCCTTTTTATGAGTGACGTTTCTGATCATGGGTCTTTTTTGAATTCTCATAATATCCTTCAAAGAGCATTCAACAATACCAGTAGCAAGGACCACCGCGCAAATCATATGGCAGCAGAAATCAGACTAAAAGAAGATGATGAAGAAGCTCAGAAGGTTAATGATTGTGGTATGTCAAATTCAGAAATTAGAGAATTATCAGACGTGAAGGCATCCGATAATGGCTGCGAGTTGAGGTCTATATTAAAAAGAAAGAACACCGGTACAGATTCCAAGCCACAAAAGCGTGTGAGGTTTGACTGTGCTTTTAAAAATGATTTGGAAGAGCAGTTTGAAAAGTCTGAGGATCATCATTCTGAAGATTCGGACGTATCGCTTCCTGCTGAAAATGACAGAGGACTTCCAGATTATTTACGTAATCCTTCTAGGTATACATGTTATAGCTTTGATTCATCAAATGAGGTTGGTGAAGAATCTAATGCTCAAACTTCGAAGGATGTCCTTAAGCTTGTTCCAAACTCAAAATCTACAGAATCATTGTAAGAGCCTGAGGAAACACCTCGTGATCTTCCAAAGTCGGTGACATTTATCCCAAAGAGAAAATCTGGCATCCTTCAACTAGGAAGCGGTATCAGTGAATTCGGGAAAAGGAAGATGACTGTAAGAAGCAGTATCAGTGACATCGAGGACGGTGAAGATGCTACACCAGAAACAAGTACAACAAATGGCACTCCAGTTGTACGAAAAGGTGGCCGCAGTTATAGAGTAAAATCACAGCCAGAGGACATTGACCTAGAGGGCTGAAGAGAACAACTTTCAACCATTTAAAGGTTTGCTACTAAAATCTCTTGAAGTAGTTCTAAGTTTATACTGTTTCCCCAAGTTCCTTTTTTTTTCAACCACCATCATAACCCTTTAACCGTTATGTTAATACAGTCTATTAGAATGATTGAGCGTTAACGTATGCGTGCCTGATGTTAAGCGATTGGGTTTTCTGAATAACGTATGCATACCTAAACATTTAAAGAAGTATATCCCATGCTTAGATATTCAACTTTTATCTGTTTAAATATAGTTATTTTATTTTATTTTTATTGAGTAATATAAGATATTCAATCTAATTCAAGGTGTCACATTCAAGCATAAAAATAATATTACTAGGGGTGAGTCGAAGAGTTTCTAACTTGTTTACCCTGACTTAAAGCCGTCAAAGAATCTGCGACCTTGTTAAGTTTGCACCGAACATGGCGGATCTTCGCCTCCTAAGCTTGGTTCAACATAAATTTCGTTGCGTTTGCAATGGCATTACCTTCTAGTGCTAATGGTTCGTGGACCAACACATTAAAGATTTCGATACAGTCTGTTTCTACCTCGATCTTCTTGAATCCCAAATTTCATGATGTTTTAAAGCAGCGTGCACCGCCCACCACATGCGGTCGTTCCGTCACTCCCATCTCATTGCTTCGTCGATATTAGCTTTGACCCAATCATAGGAAGGTTTTCTCCATTGCAAAGTCTTACGCACAGCAGCTTGTTGTTGCAAATCTTTCGCTTGATTAGTTGCAGCTCCAGCAAGGATGACTTTATGACATCGCAAACAGCTTTCAATGGTGCTTTCAATTTGGACTTATGTTTATGATATTAATAATATCATTCTATATTGACGATTATACTACTAGGCATTGTAAGCTCAGCATTCGGATGTTTTCGTTTCCATATTTGCAGTTTAAGTCGTTCAAGGAACACTATCACAGCAAGACTTCCAGCATTCCTTCTAGAGTATTGTATTATTACTTTAGTGGGCAGTGTATTTATAGGACCTTTATTATTGTATTTAGATTTATAAACTCTGAGTTATATTATTTTGATTTAAATGATGTGTCACAGAACTTTGATTTGTAAAATTATTTTATAACAATTGTGGATGTCTTTAACTGAATTTATAATGTTTTAAATAAAAACAAACATGGTTTTAAAAATTAATGTTTGTCCCAGCAGTCTAATGTAACACTTTAAACCCAATCGAGTTTAAGTTGTTACGTTACCCTAATTTCAGTTGTGGGACGATGATCTAATTTAATAAGCAATATTAGCTTAACTCGTCTTTATTACAACAAAAATCTTCGAGCATGTCTCTTGAAGAATATCTTATCGCTAACATGTAAAATTTTCAACGGAAAATCTTAGCGTTTCGATGAAGAAAAAGAGGCAAATATTTAAAACTTAGAAAACTAGATGATGCGACTCGTAGTGTCAATTTAAATTTCAAGATAAACCACCATCATATACATAACTCAAACGGAGAAAATACGTAAACGCAAACAACCTTGAGAAGTGAAAAATCTTAGGTATGAATCATACCAAAAAAAAAAAAATCAGAAAGCTTAACAATGAGGTAAAACATATTTTAAACTTCAAAAAATGGTTGCAAGGATGACGAGGAGCAAGAAAGGCTGGTAAGAGAAAGAAAGCCTTGAAGCCTGTCATGAAATTGAGGTAAAGATACCCTTGCATGATGTTGAAAATGTACCTAATTATGCAAAGTTATTGCAAGGATTAAGCACATGTATGAAGAAACCAATCGAATTCGAATGGGTAAATATAGGGAAATTGCTTACACCATTGTCCATAAAAAGACGTCCAAGAAATGTAATGATCAAGGTATGTTTTTGATTCCATGCAATAGAAGTAAAGTTGATATTAAAAGAGTCACGTGTGACTTAAGACATCCACTAATATAATGCCATTACATAACATGTTTTTTTTCACTCAAAAGTGGCTCAAAGTTCCACTTTTTTAATACCTAAACATCCGGTAAATGAAACTTCGTAATTTTGAAGTGATTCGGATGTAATTCAGATCAGTCCAGGAGAAGGAACGTGACAGTGTTTCTTTTTTCATCAATACACGCACATACATGACTCTGATGAGATTAAAATAGAAACCGTCCAACATGTAGACCGACATTCTTGCCAAAACCCTCTGTTTTATGCAGAAAGTTAAAAATAAACTAAACCAGCAGAGAGAGGAGGTACGAATGGGGCTACCCCTCACCGGAATCCCATATCCGGGAAGTTGCATAGTCTAATATAACCGTTTCCTACACTCGTCTGTACCACAGAAGCAAGGAAGCTGTTTTGTTTTGCCATCAGGACCGACAACGCTATCAATTGCATAATTATAGTCGTATGTAAGTTCCTGTTTGTCAAATACGCAGAATCAATATTGAAATACAGTTGGAAATTCGAATATAACACACGCCGCAAGTACACATACCACACATACATATTGAACATCATTGAACGAAGAGGACTAGACGGGTAAGTTCAACATCTCATAGAAAGTTAAAAGTGTTTACATTTTATTTAATTAGTTTTTACAAACATCACGTATCCAAGATTGCTATTGTTCCACTATTTAGTATCACATTGCTTAAGCACTCTATGCAGACTTAAGAGGACATGATTTTGATTTGTCTCTCGAGTAGGGTTCCGGAAAACTCACATAAAGTCTTTAAATTTCAAATACAGAATGCTCCATATTTCAAAATAAATTTGAAAAAATGTCAGATTTATGGAGACTAACCTGCATGCGAGGAATATTATCCGCAGCAAAGAGAACTATACGGGCAAGTCTCACATCATGGTGAGAGCTCAAGACGCATTGAACAAAGAGGTTAGGATCACAACTGTGATTAATAAATCTGGTAGCATTACCGCAAGAACTGGCATCTATGCAAAACTCAGGCTCGGGATCACTTTCTAAACTTTCCTCGTCTTCATCCACGAAGTTTGACATAGGAAGAGATACATCTCCTAATCGTCTCTATTAGGGGAAATGCATTAGAGAATATACTCAAATACATGTACAGTAAGGCAATCACATAATGGATCAAAAAACATGCAGTAAAAAGAACAGAAAACGAGCATGAAAGCCTAGTATGGATGGACTCGATGAGAAGCTAACAAAAGTAGAATTTCAAAAATTACAGTTCAGACTGGGTTGGCAAGGGTGACAAATGGTTACCGACATAATGGTAGACAATGAAGGTCTACAAAAAAAAAATTGTATAGAAAAAGCAATTTTACTGTCAAAAAAGGAAAAAGAAAATAAGGTTGCAGTTAAAAAGATGATTGCCAAAAAAAAGGTTGTGGCAATGAAGGCCTTAGTTACAAGTAGCAAATTTCAGAAGGAAAAAATAATTCCAAGAAAATTGATTGGGCGGATACGATGTTGAAAAGAATGCTATTCTATATGGTATTTTTGTAGAAAATAGGTTTCTGTAGAAGTAATTTAATTCACAAAATTACAATATGATTTTACACAAGTAGTGTCAAACTATATACAAAGGTAAGGAAATAGTATTTTACTTAAAATAGTCTACCTCTTGTTATTATCTCTTATCTACATTCAAGGTTAGAAATTAGAATTACACTTAATTACAAGATAACCCTTATCCCATAACTTACACTCCCCTCAAGCTGGGGAATAGATGTTATAGAGACCCAACTTGGATATTATTTCATCAAAAGTAATTCTCAGAAGTGCCTTGGTGAGAATATCCGCCAACTGATTTTTGGTAAAAAAGTAGTCAAGTTTTACTGCTCCACCATTCACCTTCTCAGAGATAAGGTGTTTCTCAATCTCCACCTGTTTCGTTCGGTCATGGTGATTCAGATACTAATAGCAGACTTGCTATCACTCTAAAGTTCAAAACATTTATCGGCTCGTTACATAATTCGAGCTCATTCAGTAACCATTGTAACCAGATTCCTTCACAAATTCCAAATGCATCTGCACTACTTCGAGAAACCACTACCTGCTTTTTACTTCTCCAAGTTATTAGATTTCCCAAAACAAATGAACAACAACCTGTAGTGGATCTTCTGTCAGTTAACTCTCCTAGCTTGAATTTATGAAAACTCTTACTGTTCTATTCTCATTTTTTCGGAAAATTAATCCATGTCCCGATGTCATTTTCAGATACCTCAGAATTCGATTGACTGCTTCTAAATGTTGTTGTTCTCTTGGGTCATTCATGTATCGACTTACTATATTTACAGGAAAAGCTATATTCAGCCTAGTAAGAAAAAAGATAAACTAACTTCCCTACTATAGTCTTTGATATTGTTCTTTGTTCACTGGACTACCCATTTCTTCCCTTAGTTTTAGATTTGCTTCCACGGGAATTTTCGCCAGTTTTAGATTTGCTTTCATGGGCATTTTTGTCGGTTTTGCATCCTTCCATTCCTGTTTCTGAAAGAAGATCAAGAATGTACTTTCTCTGATTAATGACTATTCCTTCTTTTGATCTTGCCACCTCCATATCCAAGAAGTATTGCAACATACCTAAATCTTTAGCCTCCAATTCCCTTGCTAGTAACTTATTCAATCTTTCTATTTCCACAACATCACCACCGATTATTATGATATCATCCATAGACAATTAGAATTGTATTTTTCTTGTTGGATGCAGTTTTCACAAACAAGGTGTGATGCGATTGGCACCGTTTGTATCCATCTTGAATAATTACCTTTGTGAATTTGTCGAACCAGACCCGAGGAGATTGGTTAAGACCATACAACGACTTTAGTAACTTGCACACCTGTTGGCTGTTTGCATTTACTCCCGGTGGAACTCGCATATACACTTCCTCTTCCAAGTTCCCGTTTAAGAAGGCATTTTTTATGTCTAGTTGATGAAGCATCCACTCCTCATTAACCGCCAATGATAGCAGCACTCTTACGGTGTTCAACTTTGCTACAGGAGCAAATGTTTCTTGATAGTCTACTCCATATGATTGAGTGAGCCCTTTTGCCACCAGTCTCACTTTATACCTTTCAATACTATCATCTGTCTTGTACTTCACAGTGAATACCCATTTACAGCCGACCAATCTTTTGTCTTTAGGAAGATCAACTATAACCCAAGTGTTCTTATTTTTCAGTGCCAAAAGTTCTTCAACCGCTTTTTCCACTTGGAGTCTTTCAAAGTTTCTTCCACTGTATTTTGAACAACGATACTTTCCACGTTGAATGTAGAATTTCTAAAACAAGACATTAGTTTCCCATATGCAACAAATTTATTAATTGGATAATTTGTGCATCTCCTTACTCCCTTCCCTTGAGCAATCGGTAAATTACTAGTATCAATTGAGAATTCAATTCATTCGAAAAACACTGATTACCTTCTTCAGTGCTTGGTTCCAACTCTTGGCAGTGCTCACTTTGTATGCGAACTTCGGTGGTTTGTCTGTCTTCTTTAATAAACAAGTGTTTTGGGACTAGAAAAAATGCAAAGACAAACCTGTTTTGTGAATGGTTTGGGGCAGATTAGCTTCTCCTTGACGGTGCGGCACAATTAATGGTTTGGCTGACAAGGTTAGTTCAACTAACAAGGCTGGTTTGGCTGGTTGATTAAATAAAAAAGGCTGTGAAATAGGAACAGAATAAAAAAAACTAGGAACAGAATTTGGGAAACAACTTGACAAGGTAAAAGAAATTAGGATGTCCTAATCAAAAGTGCAATAACATAATATCGGTAGAAGGTTCAACCAAACTAGAACAAGCTTGATGTGGAATAGAAAGACTTTCGACAAGAAGATAAAGTCCCCCACAAAGTTTAGCACTGCCAATCACCTTCCCCAAGCTCAAATCCTGAGATTCACACATATCAAAATTAAAGCGGGTGTTGTAGTTCAAATCAACAGATAATTTACTCACAAAAGTCAAATTGCAAGCAAGATTAGGGACATAAAGAACATATTTTAAAAGAATGTTTGAATTTATCCAAACTGAACCACTGCTTACAATATTCGAAAGAGAACCATCTGCCGTTCGAATATAAGAATCAGATTGTAATGTCTGAAAAGTCTGAAAAAGCCGAAGATTACCTGACATATGATCACTTGCTCCAAAATCCACGATTCACGTAGTAGAGTCGTTTTGTTAGCCAAAGGGGCAAGAGGAGCTTGACTTTCAGGAGCAGAACTCGTAGAATCAGAACCCAATTCAACTGACCAAACAAGTGTCGTAATTCCCCCATTTGTTTCTTGCTGAAAGAGCTGCTATGCGAGTCGATAGATGATGCAAAGTTGCCGTGAGAGTTACATTTAGGAGATTTCCAATCTACCGGTTTTCCATGTAATTTCCAGCAGTTGTCTCGTACATGCTCAATCCTCTTACAGTGTTCGCACCATGGTTTACCTTTCTTTGGTCAAGAACTATTGTTAAAACGGGTAAGCAATGTCGACCCTTTCGTAGCCACCATATCGGGAAGCATTAGAATACGCCTACTTTCATCCCTCCGAACCTCAGAGAAAACCTCTCGTAACGAAAGAAGGGGTTTCACACTTAATACTCACCCCCTGACTTCATCAAGTTCTTTATTTTGTCCGGATAAAAATTGAAAAATTCGCCGCTTTTCAACAAGTTGTTTGAACAACCTAGAATCATCTTCATAACGCCAATCATGCGACTCAAACAAATCAAGTTGCTGCCAAAAATGAGACAACATACTGAAATATTGGGTAACACCCATACCTTAATGTTTGAGATTATTAATCTGACATCCAATATTAAACAACACAGCAGAAATTTTCAAATTCGAATATGTTCCCTTTGCAGCACTCCAAATTTCAACATCCGTATTGTATAGTAGAAAATTTTCCACCAACTCAGGGATCATCGAGTTTATTAGCCAAGATATGATCATGGTGTTGTCACTGAGCCAATTGGTGTACTCAGGATTGGTGACATCCAGAATAGGTGTCGTTTCCAAAAGATGTTGCTGTTTACGCTAGCCAGTGATATACAGTCGGACGGACTGGGACCAGGCAATATAATTATTACCATTCAAAAGGTGACAAGTGATCGACGTTGGTGATGCACCGATTAGGGTTGGACTGGGAGTATGGACAAGAGGCCTCGAGATCATCTCGGAAGAAGCCAAGGACGTCATGGATGGCAAGGTTTGTGAAATAGGATCGGTACCTTAGGTTAATACCATGTAGAAAATAGGTTTATGTAGAAGTAATTTTATTCACAAAATTACAAATTGATTTTACACAGGTAGCGTCAAACTATATATAACGGTAAGGAAGTAGTATTTTACTTAAAGTCTTAAACTAGTCTACCTCTTGTTATTATCTCTTATCTACATTCACGGTTAGGAATTAGAATTAAACTAAACTACAAGATAACCTTTATCCCAAAACTTACAATTTTCTGCTTAGTTACGCATCTATTTCATAGACTAGATGTATAAGACAAAAAAGCATGGAACTAAACTCTACCTAAAAATAAGTAATCTAATTTCTAAACTTTAGGAACAAGATATTTACATGATTTACCCAAGAAAAGGAAAGGCAATAATACACAACATTTCCACTATTTTGTTTCTATTATCAATTAGCATGCATATGTCTGCACATAAGCTATCAAATCATGATAATAATGCAAGTGTATGCTTTCAGTTCACATGTTACGGAATTATAAATGGATGGTTACGCACGTCTAACTCTATGAAACTACTTGAGTTATTCTCTTGAACTGTACCTCTCTTCCTCCAATCCCTTTCATAGTGTGCCAGCAATCAATCTCAAATATGTAGTCATTTTCTGAAATATCTTCAAGCTCGTCATTCTTCCTTAGGATTCCAACATACTCACAAACTGGTGCACCTGAAGGAATAAAGTCCAAAGTTCTAACTGCCCATCCTTTGTCTTTAGTCTGATAGACCTGTAAGAAAGAAAAAGTTTACTGAATATGTCAATGCAAGTATGCAACTGCATACCCAAATGCACTTCTTTGCAGCTATAGGTGTTATACCTCAAGATGGTATTTTAGTCCCTTCTGAGAGGCACGGTTGACACACTCCGGCCCACAGCCACAATTTGGACCACATTCAAATACAACATCTTTTGCTTCAAACAATCTGCAAATTATTAAATGAAGGAGAAAAGAACTAAGTAAAGGCATAACAAAGGATCAACCTATTTTCAAATGACTTTTGATCTTAAGGGCATGATCTTGTGGGAATTAACACTAGACCTTGACACGGTATAGGGTTTTGTGGTAAGTTATTTCAACTCAGCAATGCTCCCAACTTCTCAAAACCATATAATTCAAATCTTACCGGCCACCATCTCGAGAAACATATGGAAAGTCGCCACCATTAAGTTTAGCACAAGAACATGACTCTGGATTTGTGCACTTTCCTCTACATTTGCATCCAGGAGCATCTGGTGGGATGCTCACATTTTTGGCAAATTGAATGGACTTGATATATTTAAAGCCTACAAAGATGAACCATTAAAAAAAATAAGTTTGAAAATATGAAAAAGGAATAAACGGAGAAAGGAAATGGAGGTCATCAAATATGTGGTATTGTTAAAATTGGTTTTATTTCATCATTCTCATACACTAGCTTGTAGAAAGTTACAGAATTTAAATATAAACACTGCTACCTTATCTTAGGAAACCGTTAAACTAGGTAAGTATTGATTCTAGGACTAATTCTAATCCCTTAAAGTTAGGGATCCTAAATTAGTAGAATATTTACAAAGATCTTCCTAAATTAGGAAGCTAATCTCTGACACTCCCCCTCAAGCTGGGGCATGGATGTCTTCCATCCTCAGCTTGTCTGTCAACTTCTAGAAAAACTTACCAGGTAGACCCTTGGTAAGTATGTCAGCAACTTGATCTCCAGTGGTAACATAACTGTCAAGTTTCTTCTTTATGAAGTGTCTATCCACGTCAACATGTTTTGTTCTGTCATGTTGAACTGGATTATGAATAATATTAATTGTTGATTTGTTATCACAGTATAGCTTCATTGGTCCATCCCATTTGACCTTCAAATCTTCTAAAATGATCTTCAACCACAGTAACTCACAAATTCCCAAAGCCATAGATCGAAACTCAACTTCTGCACTTGATCTAGCCACAACATTCTGCATTTTGCTCCCCCAAGTAACTAAATTTCCTCCAAAGAAAGTACAATATCTAGAGGTTAATCTTCTATCAACTATGGACCCAGCATAGTCTGCATCAGTGTAAGCTTCCAGAGTCAAATTCCCCCCTCTTCTAAACAGAATTCCTTTGCCTGGTGTCCTTTCAAATACTGCAAAATTTGAGTCACTGCCCTTAGATGCGATTCCTTAGGATTGTGCATAAATTGACTTACAACTCCAACAACATATGCTATCTCTAGTCTAGTATGTGATAAGTAAATAAGCCTTCCCACAAGTCTTTGAAATGAATTCCTAACAACTGCTGCATCATTATCTTTTGAATCTCCAAGCTTATGGTTGACCTCTATTGGTGTTTCTGCTGGCTTACACCCTAATTTTCTAGTCTCCTTTAACAAGTCCAGAGTATACTTTTTTTGGGATATAAAGATTCCTTGTTGTGAGTGTGTCACTTCAATACCAAGAAAATATTTTAATCTCTCAAGTTCCTTAACTTCAAACTCCTTTATCAAACCATTCTTCAAACTCCTTTATCAAACAAATGTTCAAACTGCCAATCCCTTCAAGATCATTCCCTGTGCCAATTATGCAATCTACATACACCAAGAGTGCAGTTACTCCCCCTGAAGAAGAGTGTCTCACAAATAAAGTATGGTCACCTTAGCTCTGTTTGAATCCTTGTCTCATCATCAATTTAGCAAACCTTCCAAACCAAGCTCTAGGAGACTGCTTTAGTCCATATAGAGCCTTTTTCAACTTGCAAACTGTCTGTCCAACACTCGGTTTATATCCAAGTGGTATATCCATATACACTTCCTCTTCAAGGGCTTCATGCAAGAAGGCATTCTTGATGCCAAACTGCTGCAAATTCCACCCTTGAGTAATTGCTAAGGATAGTAGAACTCTTACTGTATTTATTTTTGCAACAGGGGCAAAAGTTTCAAGGTAATCTATTCCATAAGTCCGAGAATATCCCTTTGCCACCAACCTTGCTTTGTACCTTTACAAGGAGCCATCTAACTTATACTTAACTGTAAATATTCATCTATATTTCACTGTTTTCTTCCCTTCTGGCAGCTTCACTAAGTCCCAGGTTTTATTCTTTTCCAATGCTTCCATTTCATCTTCCATAGCCTTTTTCCAATTCTCATTCTTTAATGCCTCGAAAACAATCTTAGGGCTGGTAATGGTGTTTAGGCTGGTAAGAAAAGCTCTGTGACTAAAGGATAGGTTCTTCCTTTTCTAATAACAATGGAAATTCAAAATCAGAATTAGATATATCATTGTCGGTATTTTGAACATGAAGAGTTTCATAGTGTACCTCAGATTGCACAGGAGCAGGAGAAAAGGATGATTGAATCTGCATAGGTGCCTTCTTCCATGAATAAACCAGCACAGGCTGAGTAGTGTCCAGGATAGTTGGTTGAGGTGTACTGGGTTTTGGTTATGGACAATTTGTAGTAGTAGGCTGAGCAGACTGTGTTTGGGCAGGATGTGTTTGCTGTATTTGTTCAGAATGTGTAGGAGTAGGGAAATCAATGAGGAGTTGAAGTAGGAAAAGATCAACATCTTTATCTTCCTTAAATGATATCTCCCACTGAAGATAAGGAACAATAACTCTCATTTTCAACAAAGGTGACATCAGCAGTGGTGTAGTATTTTCTTGTAGGTGGATGATAGCATTTGTAGTATTTTTTAGTAGAAGAGTAGCCAATAAATATGCATTTTAGTGCCCTTGGATCAAGTTTACCTCTTCCCTGAGATTGTATATGAACGAAAGCAACACAACCAAATATTCTGGGTTTTAGGTTAAAAGATGGGCTAAAATTTGGGTGGAATTTTGTGAGGACTCTGGGACTCGAGGACTTTAGTGGGTAGTCTATTAATCATGTAGGTAGCAGTTAACACTGCCTCTCCCCAGTAATGTTTAGGGACTTTGTTTTGAAATAGGAGGGCTTTTGTAGTGGCAAGAATATGACCATTTTTCCTTTCAGTTACACCATTCTGCTATGGGGTGTTAACTCAAGATAATTCATGGATGATACCCTTCTCTAGAAAGTAAGGAGATAGGACACAGTTAAAGTAGTCTTTGGCATTATCTGATCTGAATCTCTTTATTTCAGTCCCAAATTGGGTTTTAATCATGGTATAGAAGGTTTTAAAAATGGGGCTAACATCTGACTTTTGTTTTAGAAGAAAGATCCAAGTAGCCCGAGTATAATCATCTATGAATGACACAAACCATCTAGCCCCGGTTATGTTAGGAATAGTATAAGGCCCCCAAACATCACTTTGAATAAGAGTAAATGGACTAGTAGTTCTTTTATTGATTGCTGGGAAAGTGGAACGCATGTAATTCGCAAGTTCACACACTTCACAATGAAAATCTTCAATACTTAAGGAATTGAACAAAGAGGGAAACATAGTCTTTAAAACTTTAAAAGGTGGGTGACCAAGGCGAAAATGATTTAGCCAGATTTGGTCTTTATTAGCTGTAGATTCAGATAAGAGAGACAGAGGTTGGGTATCCAAGATCCTAACTGGTCCAATGGGTTCTTCAAGGTAGTATAGGTCGTTTATTTCCCTAGTATGCCCAATCATCCTCTTCGTTTCTTGTTCCTAAAAAATACATTGTGTATGATAAAATAAAACATTGCAATTACTATCTTTAATAAGTTTCTATATGGATATAAGGCTGGTAAACAGTTTTGGTACATTAAGGACATTTTTAAGTAAAAGGGTTTCACTTATGGCTATATTTCCTTGACCATCAACTGTTATGATAGTGTCATCTGCAACTGCGATTTTCTTGCTGCTAGGACAGGGTGTGTAGGTAAGAAATTTAAGGAATTGGTCATATGGTATGTGGCTCCCGAGTCAATTACCCATGAATTTTGAGTAGGTATGTGAGTGGATATTTTCGAAACATTAAAATCCTTGGAAAAGGAAGAGGATATACCTGAGAAAACCAAATTGCTTTTACTTGTAGAGGAAGATTTCTTTAAGGATTCCAGTACATTCTTTAAATTTTCAACTTCTTCCCTGTTGAACTCAGCAGGTTGTTCTTCAGCCTCTTTAACAACTTGTTTAGTTGCATATGCTCTACTTTGTCCTCTCGATGAACCCCCTTTCTTGGTAAAATTCTTACTTGTTGACTGAGGTTTTCCATGTAACATCCAACATTTATCTTTAGCGTGGCGAGGTTTCTTGTAGTAAGTACACCATAGAGAGTCTTTATTAGCCATTCTTGTTGCTTCTGGTCTTCCTTCAAAAGTTTGTTGTTCCAAGCGTGTTGATTCCTCATTCACAGCCTTAGTGACCCAGGCTGAACTTTCTATTTGACTACTTTCAACTACCATCACCCCTCTTCTTCTTTCCTCAGCCCGAATGATAGCAATGGTCTCGCTCAGTGAAGGTAAATCCTCTTTTCCTAAGATCTAGACTTTCACTGCATCAAACTCAATATTTAGTCCAACAAGAAATCATAAATCCTTTCTTTCTCAGTAAACCTTTTTAGGCTTGCAGCATCTTCATTGCAATTCATTTGGATGCATTGATAATGATCTATCTCCTGCCAAAGGTTTTGTAGCAGGTTAGAATATTCTGTAATGAATATGCTTCCCTGTTTAGTGAATGAAATATTGCTCTTGATTTCATATACCTGGACAGCATCTTTGACTTTAGAATAAGTCCATTTCACAGCCTCCCATATCTCTTGGGTTGTCCCGAGAAACATACAAGTGTCACTAATCTCGGGCACCATTGAATTCCACATCCAAGACATGACTAGTGAGTCCTGCTCATCCCATGCTTCAAATCTAAGGTCTCCTTCTTTAGAGCCAGTTCCTAGGAGATGACTGAACTTTCCTATTCCTTTAAGGAACGTTTGAACCAACTGTGACCACTTAAGGTAATTCTTACCATTCAATCTATAGGCGACTTGAATATTTTATAAGTCACCAACAGTATTGGAATGACTTCCTTCATCAATTGTGCCTCCTTGAATGGTTTCAACTCTACTAGAATCGGCATCATCCACCATATTTTGTTAGGTAGAAACTTGGTTCTTTGAAGGGAATGAAAAGGCTAAGAAGGATGATTGAAAAACGAGTAATTGGACTTGAAAGGAAGAGCTGGAATAACTCTGATACTATGTTAAAACTGATTTTATTTCATCATTCTCGTACACTAGCTTGTAGAAAGTTACATAATTTAAATATACACACTGCTACCTTATCTTAGAAAACTGTTAAACTAGGTAAGTATTGATTCTAGGACTAATTCTAATCCCTTAAAGTTAGGGATCCTAAGTAGAATATTTACAAAGATCTTTCTAAATTAGGAAGCTAATCTCTAACAGGAATATTAAGGCATAAATGAAATTTTGCTGAGGTAAAAGCATATCCTTCATAAATAAGCATTCTTTGATGTAGCACATATTGTGGTACTTCCATAAGCATTTGAGAGAAAAGGTAGACAACTTAGTGAAACGTATAGAATGCCGATATCTTCAAAATATCTCAAAACTAGTTTATGGATTTATAAAAATATTTCTTCAGACATTCTTATAATTTAAATGTACGAGTCTCACTAGCCCTACAAACCTACCTGGAGAAATGGATATGCAATAATAACAAGAAAAAAACACAAAAACCTAAATAAAAAAATAGGTCTCAAACAGTTTTACGCAGTAAATTGATAATATAAAAAGATTAATGTAATATTCAGTTTATGAGGAAATCTGTGGATGGTTCTCTCAACAAATTCACTTCCAAGTGCAATGCATATATTATTAGCTTGGCTGACAATGCAGAGATAAAAAGAGCCTTTTATTAAATACAGGAAATATTTTTTCTAGCAAGCAAGGGAATCTAGTCCCATTAGCAAGTATATGCCCAACCTTCGCATTTCAATTTAACTTACCTGTAGGAGCCACAGTAGGATTATACAAATTAAAAACAGGGATGCATTTATCTTCTTGACCGTTTGATATGTCCTTGCATACAAGCCTTGGGAAAAAAGAAAAACATTAAGTCAAACGTGTGACTAAGATACATAAAACATGTAGTATTTGAATTTAATGTCTAAACAATCTATCTAGAAGCATATGCATTTGGTATTCATACCCACGCAATTCTCGGTTTACTCTGGAAACTTCTTCATGTACAAAGCGAACCTAAGATAAGAAAAACTAAAATTGTGAATACTAATATAAGCTACAGCCTACAGCATAATCCATGTCAGCACTTGCTGCACAAACCGAGCATAGCCAAACAATGAAAGACAAAATAGATGTGACCCAGGAGAAGCTTCCAAGAAAAAGAATGAGAAATATATTCCTCAACCATCAGTGCCACCAGCTATATCATGATAAGAGGCAGAGAAATAAAATGCAGGAAGTGTTTCATTACTGAGAACATTGTTTGCATATGTATATGTGCCTATGTGCATGTATGGGCAAGTGTGTTCCATATTCCTCATGACCATAGATAAAATAGCTTGTATAAACATCATGGTCAGTAATCTAAACAATTAGAAATCTTTTACAAAATTTCCATTAAAGAAAAATAAATTGCCTGATTCCAGCTCGTCAAATTGTCTTGCCCTTGTAGCTGCTTCAACCTGTACTTAAAAACTTTAAAGCCAGAAATTCCTCTCTCATCCCAATAGTATTTGAATTTAATGTCTAAGCAATCTATCTAGAAGCATATGCATTTGGTATTCATACCCACGCAATTCTCGGTTAACTTCGGGAACTTCTCCATGTACAAAGTGAACCTAAGATAAGAAAAACTAAAATTGTGAATACTAATATAAGCTACAGCCTAAAGCATAATCCATGTCAACACTAGCTGCACAAACCAAGCATAGCCAAACAATGAAAGACAAAATAGATGTGGCCCAGGAGATGCTTCCAAGAAAAAGAATGAGAAATTTATTCCTCAACCACCAGTGCCTCAAGCTATATCATGATAAGAGGCAAAAAAGAGAGATAAAATGCAGGAAGTGTATCATTAACTGAGGACGGTGTTTGTCAACTATCTGAGTAACAGGGTAACTTGGAGAACAGTGAAGGAAATCTTTCAACAAGAAGGTAGAGTTATACGAGTTTACATTCCGAGTAGCTCCAGGAAGCAGAAGCAGAACTATAGAAACCATACATTTGCTTTCGTTCAGTTTGCGAAGGAGGTTGGGTTGAAGAAGGCGATAGCAGATGTGAATGGTATTTGGATAGATGGAAAGAAAGTCTCAGTTGGAGTAGCTAAGTACAAGAAGAACATGTTCAGGCAAGCTGATAATAGTAATGTCAGAAGGGAAGAAGATAAGTTGAATAAGGGAGTGACTTCAAGAAGAGGAGTCGGATCAGAGTCATTCAGTAGATTGAGGGATGAGAGATCGTATAAGGATGCACTAGTCTCTTATGATGAGCGAAGGGAAGTCCAGGCGAGTAAAGAGATTAAGGAGGGTCATCCAGGAAAGGAAGCAGGGCTGAGGAATTTGTGGGAGATGCATATCCCATTAGATGAGTATGATTGGGTTAAAAGATTATTGACTGGAATTATCAAAACCCATTTTGATTTGGAGTTAGTGGTGAAGGGGTTAGCTAGTGATGGAATCATGGTCAAGGGAGGTAAATGGGGTTATACATGGAATTCTTGTATCTTAACTTTTGGTTCGGTGGAAGAATTAGAGAAAGCAAGGTCGAGTAGAGGGGAGGAAATGGCTTTTTGGTTTGATTGGCTTGATCCACTTATGAACGAAGAAGGTGTTCCGATGGCATTTTGCTCAGTTGAATTGGTTGGAATCCCCTTATTATGCTGGAATGTTTCTTTTTTGGAAAAGTTAATTTCAAGGTGGGGGAAGCTGGTGTATATTCATGAGTCGACGGTCAATAGGGAGGATTTGACGGTGGCAAGGGCTCTGCTGAAGGTGGCCAGCCCGTCTGATATACAGGAAACTGTTACCTTGGGTTCATATGAGAGATCTTTTAAGGTGAAAATTAATGTGGGGTCGGCTAGTATCAAACAGGAAAGCTTTGCAGCAAATAATTCTACGGTGGCCGGAGATGGTGTGCCCAGTATCGAAGCATTATCAGAGGAGGAAGAAGACAGGCATTCAAACAGAGTTGGTAATCCAAATTTGATAGCTGTGGATTCTAGGGACACAGTAGACAGATGGTTGGTAGGGGATAACTGTACAACTATGTCAGGCGGCAAAGGGGGAGAGCATTTATTGTTGCAGGAAGTAGAAGGTCAAACTAGTGGTGCTAAGATGTCAGACTCACCAGATGAAATTTTGAAATTTAAAGGGGATTTTCGAGGTCTTGGGTTAAGAAAAGATTTTCTAAATGAAAATGATGAAGCCCAGTCAGTGGACTTGAGTGAGCCCACCACAAACAACTCTAAATTTTCACCTTCTGGGCCTGTTGTTAATATAATCAAATTGGGGTATGTTTCGAATCCTGGTGGGGTCATTAACAGAATTCAGCCTATGTGTAGAGGAACTTCCAAAGAGTTAAATGAGGAAATTACAGACGATGTGGCAGTCCTGAACAAAGAATCTAGCAGTGAAGAAGAAACAGAGGAGGGTTGGGAAGCTTTGACGCTTCATATGGGCAGATCCAGGGGAAATGATGTAATAAGAAGTCTCTTGCAATTGGTTTAAGGAGTTGGAGTCCTTTCAATCACTTGTCTAGAAGTTTGTATATAGGAAGGTGGAATAGAGGTTCCATTTCTAGAGTGTATAGAAGATCTAGAGAAAGAAAGGTGTGGTTTAATCCGAGCAGAGAAAATGGGACATTGCAACTTACGGAGTCGAATGACCACAACAGGACTAGAATCAATCCTATTACGAGTAATCTACCTATTCCTAATACCCAGGAGAGAAGACCAAATGGGAATCAGGATGAAGGTGGTTTCTAGTCACAATTCGAAAGTAGACCAGTCACAGCATTCTCGGGGTGCTGAAGGAGTTGTAAAAGGTAATCAATCTAGATCAGTGGCAAGGAATGGCAATAGAAGAACGAGAAGGCTTTTGATTAGGGAAGCATTGGATGTGGCTAGTTTCCCTACTGTGTATTCTTCAAAATTCTCACTATTTTTGGAAGAGGCTCTAGCTACATGGAAAGTTAGTAAAATGCTGGGTATCTCATTCAAAGAGGGGAAGAATGCCTTCTTGGAAAAAATAATTAATTTGAAAGAGGGATTGGCTGAATGTAGGGAAGGGGTGGATCCGAGGGTATAGGGATCTTTTGGAAGCTTTGCTTTAGGGTGCTTTTGGTTCACGGAATGTAAGATTACCAGTGGGAATAAAAGATTACCAGGGAATAGGATTACTGGAAATGTTATATTTTGTGTTTGGTTGGTTTAGCAAGAATGTAAGATTACCGTGTTTGGTTAAAGGAATAAAAGATTATTGGAATGTATATTTGACCAAATTGTTCTTATTATATATTTGTATAATATTACAAATTGTAAAATATTTACATATTTTCTTTAAAAAATTAAATTCATAATATTTATATATTTTTTACAAAATTAAAAATATAAAAAAGGTTTAATGAAAGGGTAAAAAAAAATTTTAACCCCTGAACTTCTTATAAAATTTTAATTATAGATTTTTTTTGTAAATCTAAAATAATTTAAGGATAAATTTGTAATTTAACCTTCGTAGAATTTTTATTATTTAATGACAGAAGAAATATATTTTTGAAAAAAAATAAAAATTTAAGGGCATTTTAGTCCAAAACGCCGGTAATGTTACAATACCTAAGGGAAGGGAGGTAATGACATTCCAGGTAATATACCACAAAAATCTACTATTAGTAATAAAACATTACCGAGAATGAGATTCCCGGCCAACCAAACATGGGAATGTGGGATTCCCATCCCATGGGAATCCCATAATCTTTGAACCAAACACCCCCTTAAGGTTTTGGTTTCATACTTGTCTTCATGGTACAAATTAAGATTATTCATGGAACATTAAGGGTATTCATAAAAAGGAAAAAATCAAGAGCCATAGCTAATATAGTCAAGCAGTATAAACCAGGCATTCTACTAATTCAAGAAACAAAGCTAGAAAATTGTTCTCAGGCTCTTAGGAGAAAGATAGGTGGTAGTCTTCTTAATGGTTGGATTTTCGTTCCAGTAGTGGGGTCTGCAGGTGGATTAATGGTGTTGTGGAATGAGAAGGATTTTGAAGTTACAAACAGACATTTAAGTGGCAGATTTATAGCCATATTTGGAAAATTTAAGAATTCAAATGATGAATGTGTGATTATTAATGTTTATGGTCCTTGTATTGACTCTGAAAAGGAGGATTTCTTCAGGGAGCTGCTGAATTTTGTAGCTGCTCAAACTGTATCAGTTTGTATTGGGGGTGATTTTAATGTGTACCTTGATTCGGCAGAGAAGTTGGGAAAGTCTTAGAATTGGTTCTCTATAGATATACTTAGAAATTTCCTGAGTCAAACAAACTTAATCGATCTACCTATGGTCGGGGGAAGGTTTACCTGATGTAATAATAGAGAAGCCTCTACTTGGGTCAGATTGGATAGGTTTTTAATTTCTGGGAATTTTCTGATTAGTTTTCCTAATGTTGTGCAAAGCCTATTACCCAGGTCTCTATCTGACCACAATCCCGTTTCATTGGAGGAAAAAACTGTAGACTGGGGGACCAAACCATTCAGATTTTTCAATAATCTTTTAGAGAAAGAAGGTTTTGAGGAATTAGTTAAATCGTCCTTGGATAATTTGAAGGGGAGTAGAAAGAGAAGGGTATATTCAATTTTCTGCAAGGAACAAAAAAATCGATCAGAAGCTGGTCGGACAGAAAATTCAATGGGATTTCTGGGTCTATTGCAGATCTGGAATTGAAGATTAATGATCTTGAATTCAAGGCTCAAGCTGATGATCTTTCTCAACAGGACTGGGAGCAGCTGCTGCAGTTCAGATCGAATCTTTGGAAGCTTTATAGGATTGAAGAAAGCATATGGTTTTAGAAATCAAGGGTGAGATGGATGAAAGATGGGGACAGAAATACACGATTTTTTCATCTTTCTGCACTAAACAGAAGTAGAAGAAACGAGATTTCTAGCTTGAAGATTAACGGTTCAGAAGTCTCAGATCCGCAATTAATTAATATGCATATTGCGGATTATTTTAAGGAATCCTATAGTTCTAAGACAACATTGGAAGTCGAGGACTTATCTATGAATTTTGCTAAGTTATCAGGGGTTCAATCCTCAAATCTTGAGGAGCAGTTTTCAGAACAAGAAATATGGCAAGTGATAGCTTCATCGGATAGTTCTAAAGCACCAAGCCCAGATGGCTTCACCATGGGTTTTTTCAAGAAATATTGGCCTAGTTTAAAGGAGCATGTAATGAAGTTTTTCCAGGATTTTTACTTTGGTAGAAAATAGGAACATGGGGTTAATCATGCGTTTATTACGCTTATACCGAAGAAGATTAATCCGGAAAGTGTGGAGGATTTCAGACCAATCAGCCTTGTAGGTAGCCTATACAAGATTCTATCAAAAGTGTTATCTAAGAGGTTGAGTTGTTGTGTTGGGGATATCATCAGTCAATCCCAATTTGCTTTTATTTCGGGGAGAATTATTGGATTGCTCCTTCATTGCGAACGAAGGAATTGATTATTGGAGAAAACAGGGATTGCAAGGGGTTGTTCTAAAAGTTAACTTTTGTAGAGCATACGACTCTGTGGAATGGCCTATTTTATTTAGAGCAATGTCAGAGATGGGTTTTGGATATAGATGGTCCTCGTGGATTACTCAATGTCTGTCTACAATCTCAATTTCGATACTTGTCAATGGGTCTCTTTCTGAGGAGTTTCCTATGCACAAAGGTCTAAGACAAGGCTGCAGTCTATCTCCTTTACTGTTTAACATTGTAGGCGAGATGCTACACTTGATGTTGTCTAAAGCAGTTGAAAGGGGTTTATTTCATGGTTTTGTTATTGGGAATTCTGAAAATTCTACTAGGTTGTCTCATCTACAGTTCGCTGATGACCTAATCATCTTTTGCCAAGCCTCTATTTATCAGATCAAGAATGTTAAAAGGGTGTTGAGGATTTTTAGCATTATGGCAGGTTTGCATCTTAATTTAGTGAAGAGTAAGCTGTTTGGAATCAATTTGGAAGATGAAATTTTATCAGATTGGGCAGAACAAGTGGGTTGTTCAGTTGATTCTTTACCGACAGAATACTTGGGTCTTCCACTGGGAGCTAAGAAAAACTCAGAGGCTCTATGGGATCCTCTCTTCAAGAATTTTAGTGCCAAAATTGTTGGGTGGAAAGCTTCTTGTTTGTCATTGGCTGGTAGGACAGTAGTTTTGAAATCGGTGCTAACATCTCTACCCATTTTCTTTTTACCTCTTTTTAAAATGCCTTGCAAAATTGGCAAGAAGCTAAATTCTTTATTGGCTAACTTTCTTTGGGGTGATAAAGAGGATAAGCGGAGGATTCATTGGGTGAATTGGAATATGGTCTGCAGGCCTTTGAATTGTGGTGGACTTGGTGTCCTAGATTTGAATCTCACTAATCGGGCTTTATTAGGTAAGTGGGTGTGGAAATTTGCCAATGATAAAAATTTTCTTTGGAAATATGTGTTGTGTAGCAAGCAAAAGGTTAGTTGTAATACTATGTCTATTGGAAAGGTTTCTTCCTCTCAATCTTCTTAGATCTTGAGAGGCATTGCAAACAATTTCACAAAAAATGATTCGGTAGGGGAATATCTTAGATCGAATGCGAAGTTGCAAGTAGGAAATGGGAAATCAATTTCCTTTTGGAATGATATATGGGCAGATGAGGTTCCTTTAAAAATCATTTTTCCTAGAATATATGTGCTTTCCATTAATAAAGGGGGGATGGTTGTAGAGTTTGGCAGCTATGGATCGAGTGGTTGGGAGTGGAATGTACAAACTAGAAGGAACCCGAGTGACTGGGAATTGGATCAGTGATTGGCTTTGATGACAAAACTTAAGGATATCAAATTGTCAAACTTGGTGGAAGACTTCCTATTTTGGTCTGCTAGTGGAGATGGAATGTTTTCGGTTAAATCCTGCAGAAATTCTTTTGGTAATGTGGTTGGGAGTTGTGATTTGTGGCTTAAAGGAGTCTGGATGGGTTTTGCTCCACCTAGAGTGGAAGCTTTCCTTTGGCAGTTAGCTCATCAGAAACTGACAGTTAAGGCAGAGTTGGTTAAGAGAGGTATATCATTAGGGGAAGATATTAAGTGTCCTTTTTGCAAGAATCAGGAGGAAACTGTTAAGCACTTATTTATCTCTTGCTATGTTGTTTGGGAATTGTGGAATAAAATAGCTAGTTTTTGGAATAATTCCTTAGTTCTTCCTCAAGACCCTCCTGCTCTGCTTGGTTCCTGGGGTGAGTTGAGGGGGAAATCAACGATTTGAAAGTTTATTCCGGGAGTTATCTTCAGGTCAATTTGGAAAGCTAGGAATGCAATGGTGTTTGAAGGATCTACTCTTGACAGTCTGTCTTTGTTCTTTACTGTTAGATTCAGGCTTTCAAAATGGTTTTTAGCAAAGTTTCCTATGGTTTATATACAGGAGGATCTGCTGATTGATAATCTTTCCCTAGCAGATGGGTTTTCTCTATCCAAAGCTAAAGATTGTCCTGTCTTTCGGTGGATTCCCCCCCAGTTGATTTTCTAAAGATGAATGTTGATGGAGCCGCTAGGCTTAATGGCTCGGGTGGAGGTATTGGAGGTATTTTGAGAGATTGGGATTGTTGCACCCTTGACTTTTTCAGAGAAGGTAGGGCAAGGAACTCCTCCATTAGTTGAATTAAAGGCTATAAAAAGAGGCATTGAAATCTTTTTGTCATCATGATGGGAATCTGTTGGGAGGTTGATTGTTGAGAGTGATTGTAAGTCGGCAGTGGAATGGGTTCAATCCCCGACTTTGGCTCCTGATTTTTACTCGCCTATTGTTTATCAGATTTTGACTCTTCTCTTTGGTAAGGTACATTCAGTGAGGTGGATTCTTAGGGCGAGTAATGGGGAGGCAGACAACTTAGCAAAGAAAGGGATAGGGTGAATGTAAGGTTTTATCAGTGGAATTTCTGGTCTAGCGAGAAGGTTTATTGGGAATAAATCCTTAAGTTTTATGTTATGTAATGTGATGTAGTGGTTAAATCTTATGAAATTCTTTATTATTAATAAAATTTCTAAGGCACTCTTTTCCTCCTTCCGCTGATTAATGAGCTTACTTCTTAGCTCCATTAATCAAGAAGGGGTTTTTTAACAAGGCCTTCCATTCCTATAAAAAAATAGATAAAATAGCCTGCATAAATATCATGTTCAGTAATCTAAAGAACTAGAAATCTCTTACAAAATTTTGATTAAAGAAAAATAAATTGCCTGATTCCGGGTCATCAAATTGTCTTGCCCTTGTAGCCGCTTCAACCTGTACTTAAAAACTTTAAAGCCAGAAATACCTTTCTCATCCCAATAGTCAGTAACCTATTAAAAGTAAAAGTAGAAGTGAGCATAACTGAAAGATAATTAGTTCGATACTAACAATAGAATATCTTACTATAAGTTAATGGTGGAAAAATCTATTTATAAGGACAAGAATCACTTGTTTAAATTGGTATTGCTGAATACTAACCTAAGATCTATTATATCTTAGATTCTCAACTAATAAAACATCTAAAATACTTCACAACAATAAGTGTATTCTTGCATGTCCGTCAAGAAACAGATATGAATAAGGAGAAAATAAAGGTAAGAAAACATTTTCACGTCAAAATTTCATCCCAGTTTCATAACAAAATAAAGTTACACATTACTGAGTCAGGCAGCACTTCATATTTATATTGTTCTACTGTCAAAATATGAGAAAAATATAATTTTTGTTTGTAGTTGACAAGCAATGTGTCCAACCTAAAAAACATTACTTTTGTTTGTAGGCAGTGAATTAAGATAGGAGTAACTATTCTCCATGCACAGAAAATTTTAAATACAGTGACCCTTCAATCCTTCATACAAGAAATAAAACACAAACAAACCTATACAAACACATCAAATAAATTTCTAAATTATGAGGCATAAAATTAGTTTTGGTGATCAATTATATTAAGAAATTTATTTCAAGATTTTAACCTTGTACAAGCCATCATATATGTACACTGTTTTGCTGTAACTATCATCACATTTATGACCACGAATAACTCTAACAGGCACAGATTGCTCCTTGTTATTCTGCAAATAAGTTACAAAGAAAAAGAGTAAAGAAACAATTTAAATTGCAAGTTCAATTCAACATCATATCATGTAGATAACAAAAATCAAGGCAAAAAAATGTACATCAGTAAACCGAGCTCAGAATGTATTTAGGCTGACAAGAGAAGAAAATTGCACATACATGTGATGTTTGACTTTATTCCAGTTGTGTTGCATCGTAATATGTTAATATTATGTTTTCGTTTCATTTTGATCACTTACTATTATAAAAGTAACAAAACTATTAACGTGATATTTTTTAATTTTTCAATGATGATATGACATTATCTTACGGTATCACATCAACATTACCGTTAATTTTTTAACAATAGATGCCTAAATGAAACTAAAACGTAACGTTAAGTATGAATCTAAAACAAAAAATAATTGGGTGGCGAAAATGAAATAAAAGTGATAGTTAAGACACTAAATTTGTAGTTTAACCTAATTTTAATTTTCTTTTTGGAATCAGATTTTTTTTTTGAATAATTTGGGATAAGTACAAGTAGTATCCGTTTAAAGATAACTCTCAACCATTTTACATTGAACGCTAACACCCTCGGCATTCTTGGTGCTCAAACCCAAAACCTCAAGGATTATCAACAATTTATGTACTACCGAGATCATTTTATTCGTGTTGGAATCGAATCTTAAATACACAATTAACAGAATCTCTGAAATGGGTTGACAGAACGGCAAACATAGAAGCTGATAGCTTAGCTAAGGCTGGTATTGGGTAGTTATTGTTTGTTGGGTTGGGATATTGTTTAATTGAGTGGAAGATGTGTTCTTTGGTGTGTTTCGGGGTGTTTTTGTAAGGGGTTTCTTTGTTTTAAACATTATGTAATCTTTTACTTATTAATGAATTATGAGGCACTCTTTTCCTTCTTCCGCTGATTATAGAACACCAATTGGTGTTCCATTAATCATGAAGGAGGTTTTTAACGAGACCTTAACTTCCTATCAAAAAAAATAATAATAAGTAAAGGAAAATAATCCCTGGTCAAAAGTAACAGCTTATACACAAACTAACTGGAAATTAAAGGCGATAGCTGACACGTGTCTTAATGACTCTAGATTGTACATTTTTTAATTTTATTTTCTTAAAAATATATGCTATTATTTCTTAGTTGACTAAGGAATAATAATAATACATGCTTTTTTTTATAAAAAAAAAATCATTAATCAGCCAAAACTGGCATGTGATATACTTGTCATTCTAGAGAGAGAGAGAGAGAGAGAGAGAGAGAGAGAGAGAGAGAGAGAGAGGGATGGAGTGAATAGTGACAAAGTTCGTCAAATTTATGCAAACACTTACAGAATGGTTTACATAGAACCTTTAATAATGGTTTAACTGGTGAATAATTCAACCAAATCTAAATCTATCCTAAGCTATTAAAATCCCTTGAGTATCGTTAGAAATAGTTTTATCCTTAAATAATGAAAGTTAAAAATAAGAAGAAAAAGAAAGGATTTCCGGTGGAAGAAATCACCTATTGAAATGTTTTTTAATAGGCTGGATATGGCACTAATATAAACTATATTCACAGCAAATATAAACTATATATTTTGAGAATATAATTCAATTACATGATTTATTAATAAATTTTTCACCAAATGGCCTGGTTTTAAGTGAAAGAAAATATAACTTTGATGCTAAAATAAGGTAGTATACTATAACCTAACATTTCATTAAGTTATAGTTAAATTGCAAGAAAAAATTAAAAGAATGGTCTCCAATGGCAAAAGTTGGGACATGTTTCAAAAGCTTTCGCCTAAAAATCATTATAAGTATGCCATTTTTATAAAGTCAAAGTTCAAATATCACAAGTGAGAGCATTATTTTCATTACCATATTTAAGCAAGTTTGCTTGTGGACATTGAGCAATACATGTCATCTCATAATTACCATGAAAGTAATCCCACTGATTAAAATAACCATTAATAGGTAAAATTTTATTTAAGTAGATAAATTTGAAACTTATTGGCATTACTAATTAACACCTGAACATTAATGTTAAAGCAGTTAAGCATAGAAAGAGTGTAAACATGATACTCTACGGAAGGCAATAAAGAAAGCAAGTTACATACTTTTAGAGCCAAATTACCACGAAGCATAACTTGATCTTTGATTTGATGTTTATCACCAAGTAAATCATTTCCACCTTCACCAGTATAAACAATTTCTTCGCTATTATCAAAATCATCTTCATATTGGCCAGACAGCACAACTGAAGCAGCAAGAGGGAAGGTATAGCCACTATACTCCTGAAATGCACCAAGAGATTACTAAAACAAAGTAGGACATGAGAAGCTGATGACTTGAATGAATTTTATAGGGAAATTATATAGGAACTTGTACGGACTCTTGGATCACCCAGTCTATTATAAAAAGGAAACTTTACAAAAGTAATTAACCAAGTGGCTTAAGGAGAAAACAGTAGCATAACGATAAAACAAAGGCTGAAAACACGTAAGATAAAGGTTGGAATTCTTAGAAAACAAAGGGTTAGATGAACCTCTAGTTTTTCAACTCTAAAGATAACTTATAATTCTGGCCATCTATCCATATGTCTAATAATTAGTACAAATAAGAATGAAATAATAAAATAGCAAAATAGTAATAGCTCGTGTCACCAACTCAAGCTAGATTAAAGTAAAGCATACCTACTTGAAGTCTTAGGATAACTTGAGCAAATAAAGTAAAAAGGAAAATGCATAAATAAAGTAAAGAATTCTGTACAAGTCAATCTAAGTTGAACACTGAGATTGCTCCATCATGTGAGAGAACTTTTATGACTAATAAGTAATAAAATATGACTTTTAAAGTTTATCAACAAGATTAACAACTCGCCTTAATAAAGCTATCATTTCATGCCTGCCTGCCTGCTCTGCTGATCCAATGGAAAAATAAAATAGAAAAACATAGAATTCTTCTGATATTTGAAATTTCACACACAAACATAAAGTAAAAAAGGCCTAATCGTTGTTCATCAGTGGATAGGCCCACTAACTCCTTGCCCTCCTACTTCCAAGCTAGATCTTTATCCTAAAAGTAAAATTTTTCATCATCCATGTGAACAATTTGTTTTTCATCTCTATACCTTGTCGACATATTATAGATAATATTTTGAAATCAGAAAAATGCAAAACCAAAAAGAAACAAAATTAAAGCATCTACTAAACAATATAACCAACCGATTTCACATAATGTTCTCCAATGTAGTCAATTCCCTTCAGCAAAAGTTTATGAAGTCCTACTGCAACCATTTCAGCACGAAAATAAAAGCAATGCCCAATTTCAATACCTACATAAAAGAAGCAAAAGAAATGATTTTTAAAATAATTCCATGCAGTACAATCTGAGTGTATGAATATATATACATATGGGGGAGAACTACATTCACCAACCAGGTAGATCACCAAAGTATCTTTCGTGAGATAGAATTTCATTTTTCTTCAACATCTGTCATGAATTTAAAAAAATATAAACATGTCATAAGTAGTTCATCAAGCAATATACAGATTTCTTATACTGCTGACGTGATAGGACATATACAGAAAATACAAGTTAATTCACATTTTAGCTGCAAGCACCAAATAAACAAACTTTACATATCAATCTAATTCGAGCACCAGTTTTTCTCCATATTGAACATATTCACATCACTCCTAGCCCCTAGGAGACCAATAGGAGAAACAAAATCACAAAAGTATCTCATTTTTATTGACTAATGGAATCAAACCAGAAGAAATCCAAGCATGACAGATGGCTAAAAGCAGAGGGTCGAAAATGGAAGTCCAGTTCAAAAGCTTCAGACAGTATAAATGTGGAAAGTACATGAGCCGAGCATTAACCATAAACTTGCCTCAGAAATCGCCATCAGATCCGGGCAGCTTTTGCTTTGCTTGACGCAATCTTTGCACTTAGATAGATTAAAATGACCTTGGCACTTGGATTGCTTGACATTACCTTCACATGCATATTCTTCCTGGAAATTTACAGAATTAACAAAACTAAAAAACATCTTCTTTTCATGTAAATTGAGATAGGAAGAAAAGAGAATATACTGCTATAGAATCACGTTGATTATATTGTTTGGGGGGCGGACTAGAACTAAACAAAAATCAGGATACAAAATTCTTCCAAACCAGAGAGTGGTGCCATTTTTATTGGAGTAACATCAATAGAGAAAGCAATCAGCAAAAAAAAAAAAAAATCTGAGTAACTTGGAGTTAATGTAACCAGGTTTTATCCAACCAGAGGAAAATGAATGTCATATTAAAGATATAGACGGTCGCAGATTAATAATATCTATGTGTTTTGTGGTTCAATAATGTCATATTTAACCAATTTCTATTCATTTTCACTAGTTTTACTACTTTGACAAGTTTTTTTTCCTGAATATCAGCTCATACAGGTTCCTGGAATAACTTTTAGCCTTTTAGAGAATTTTAGTTCGGCAAGTCATGACAAAGGTCATTTACTCATCGTTCACATAGAAGAATACAGCTTTTAAGGGTCATTTTTTCCTTCCTCGCCAACTAACCTAATTAAGATGATTGATGAATGTGTCACTTCATTTTAGGAAGTATTGAAGTCACTACCAAAATATAACTACATTCGAAGTCGCATCATTTTTATATTTAATCAAAATATATCAAATTGTTGCAGAGAAAGTGTCTTAGTGAATAAAGAATTAACGACAAATCTTAATAGAAGTGCTCCAAGAAATTAAAGAAAAAAAAGTTGAAATGCAATAAATTTTACAGTTAAGAAAAAAAAGTTGAAATGCAATAAATTTTACAGTTAAGATGCTTAAATAATTTGTTTCACCATTCACAATTTCATGATCACTACCTTGTTATTACTTCATAAATAGCACAAATATGAGAGCATGACATTGAAACACAGACAGATCAAGATGTAATTCATCTTAATATGTCCTAGATCACAATACAAAAAAATATAATAAAAAGAAAATTTGTTCCAAATTATACAAAGTACTCTATTATCATCATATTAATAAAATCTTCAATCTTCTTCTACAGAACATTACATTCAAACAGAAATGCAATAAATATTTCGTTTAAAAAAATCATGAAACATTTTCATTTCTAAATTTTCCTTTCAACAAAATATATGTTAGCACCAATGTATAAGCACCAATGCTTCCTTCTGTATAAAAACCTTGCAGAACAAAATAAACAGTTTACCTTAGAGAAGTGGAGAAAATACTTATTGAACAGCCTGAGTTTATCTTTCACCGCCATAGCCGCACTTGTACCATGAGTAGATGCTAAATCATCACCATAGTTCCCCCCTTTTATATCAGTTTCCTGTAGATAGGCAACATCCTTTTCACCGCTTTCAGTGGTTACAGAACCATTAGATACACACTCCAAATCTGCGTTACCAACTTTGTGCTTTTTGACCATGATTGTATCTTGAGAAACATTCATTGTTTTCCTCTTCCTACAACTACCATAATAAGGTCTCTTCTCCCAAGGAATACTTTGGAATCTGGGGCTAACTCTAGCATTTGATGTCTTTCCCGAGTCAAGCACATCCTGTATCTTCTCAATGTTTGAGTTACCATGAGAATCATTCAATGTTTTCCTCTTACGACAACTACCATAATAGGGTTTCTTCTCCCAAGGAATACTTTGGAATCTGGGGCTGACTCTAGCATTTGATGTCTTTCTTGAATCAAGTACATTCTCTATCTTCTCAATGTTTGAGTTATCATGAGAATCATTCAATGTTTTCCTCTCCCGGAAACTACCATAATAGGGTCTCTTTTCCAAAGGAATACTTTGGAGTCTGGGGCTAACTCTAGTATCCGATATCTTTAATGACTCAATTACATTCTGTATCTTCTTAATGTTTGAGTTACCATGAGAATCATTCAATGTTTTCCTATTCTGACAACTACCATAATAGGGTCTCTTTTCCAAAGGAACACTTTGGAGCCTGGGGCTAACTCTAGTATTTGATATCTTTCCTGAGTCAAGTACATTATGTATCTTCTCAGTGTTTGAGCTACCATTGTTTGGTAAGCTTTGAAACCTTGGGCTAACTCTAGTACTTGATGTCTTCCTTGAGTCAGTTGCATCACGTATCTCCTCATTTGGTAGATTTTGAAATCTTAGGTTAACTCTAGTATGTGATGTTTTCCCTGATTCATATGCATTCCAAATCTTTTCAATGTTTGAGTTACCTCCTCTTGGTAGATTTTGAGTATTTGATATTTTTCTAGATTCAGATGCATTCCGTGTCTTTCCAATGTTTGAGTTGCCACCCTTCCGTATATTTTGAAACCTTGGACTAACTCTTCGCTGTAGATTGTGAAACCTTGGACTAACTCTTCTCTGTAGATTTTGAAACCTTGGACTAACTCTTCGCTGCAGATTTTGAAACCTTGGACCATCTCTTCGCTGTATTGCCATTCAAAAATTTAAACCAGGCCACGAAACCTGCATGCAGAAATTAGGAATAAATCACAATGTCAGAGCAAGTGAAAATAGAAATAATTTTTCTACTAAAATCACGTTTACGGACAACAATTCCTCACTAATTTTTCATAGAAAAAAATAGCAGGGATATGACAAATGGATTTGCGGAATCGACTTCAAGGCACGTTGTAAATCTTTGGAAACATAAAGGACCGGCATTGTCTTACTGAAATTGTATGCATCCATTGATTACAGTGAAGACAGGTTGATTTCTCAAGTATGTCATAGTTAGACTCATTCTAGCTGGAAATTTGATTTGCATGTACAGAAAGAACAAAAAAAAAATCGAAGTAAAAGAGAGTGAAGAAACCTACAAGTTAAATGAGTGCCGGAATGCTGGAGCAGATTGAAACTGGAAATTTGCCGTCTTTAAGTCTCCATTCTTTAGAATCGAGTCTAGGGTTTGTAAAACAATTATACTTGACAAAGGATTAAGAGGTTTAGAGCAGCGGGAAAGCTGAGATTTCGAGGGGTTTGAATAAAAAGTGCCAATGCAAGATCCTGAACATTCAAGATCAGGGTCTCTTTCACCTGTTTTCCATGATATTTAGAAAGATTTAATTACCAAATAAGTGCTATAACTTTTGTATGGAATTCGTGCCGAATATATAGGGATGGGCATGAGTCGAGTTTTTGGTTCACTAGACCCGACCCGACCCGATATCAATGAATCCTCCACCCGAGATTCAACCCGATCCAACTTGATATATAACTTAAAAACCCGATCGACTCGAAATAATAAAAAATGTTATTTTTATTCAATAAAAACAATGACTCAATTGAAAAAAATAATATATAAAGGGGGTATTATTGTAATTATTCCTAAAAATATAAGGTAAAATTATAATTTTTTCGGGTCGGGTCGAGTATTTTTCACTATAAACCTGAATCCGACCCGACCCGAACATCATATTTAAAAAAACGACCCGATTAGGTCGGATCAGAATCCATCGGGTTTGGTCCCATACCCATCCCTACTAATAGATACTTAATATTGGATAGATCAAAAAAGATTGTAGGCAGAAATACTAATAATTATTGATAAAATAATAAAAAAATATAAACAATTTTTATAAGAAACCAAATTGAATGAGTACAAAATTAGGAAAACAGTTTTTTTTTTTTAAAAAAAAAACAAGTAATTTATTTAACTGAAATTATTTATTTCTTATAATTTTGTCTATTTGTTATTTACCAATTAAAAATAAATAGGTTAAGAAATTTGAATTTCAAAAATTGAATAAAAAATAAATAACTAGAGGTTATATCTAATAATACTTGTTTTTAATGAGGTTAAATTTAATAATACTTGTTTTTAATATATATATATATATATATATATATATATATATATATATATATCGAATCCAAAATCTCTAGAAATAAATATCACTCCTTTATCCACTAAGTAATCTAAATTTGAATAACAATATTCGTAAGGCATACATAAGTTTTATCTAAATTAAAAGTAAAATAAATACAACCAAATATAAAAACACGAGTTTTGAAAGAATTTGAATCAAAAGTATGTTTATTTATTATATTCTTAAATTTATATTAGAAAAATAATTTATTAATTATTATTAGATAATAATAAAAATTAACGTGAAATTAATTAAGATACTATTAATTAATAAAAATTGAATCTATAAAATCACTGAATATAATTAGATAAATTAAAAATAAAAAAAAATTGTTTTTTCTCTAAAGTGTCTCCAATTTCTTTCATGACTTAATTTCAATTTCTTTAATAATATTTTTATTGTTAGTAGTTTTTTAGTTATTGACAATATACGCATTCTGAAGACACGAATACTTGAATTTAATACCTTTAAAAAGAATAACACTTTCTTTTATTATTGATATCGCTTAATAGGTTTAATCTCTTTAATAATAAACCTTAGGCTTCACGTATCTTTCTAATAACAATTTATTAATATAAATATAAAATAATTATAACTATTTTATTTATAAAGTTCTAGTACTAGTGTTACTTTTTTTTATCGCTTTATAAGGCTGTTTAAAATATTTACATGTTAGATATTAATTATTACTTAACTAGTTTTATAATTATATACTAATTAAAACTATTAACATTATAAAATCATTTTCATTAAAATAACATATAAAAACTCACAAAAAATATTTTAAGTACTATTCAATAGGTTTGCGCTTTGTTAAAATGCATTTGGATTTATTGATCCTAAAACCAAAACTCACGGTTCAACCTAGGACTATAAATGCGACGAGACAGATCGCGAGCTATAAAAGATTGACTCGATCAAGGCTCGATAAATACTCAGATCGAATGAACTCGACTCGAACTTGACTCGAATTCTTAACGAGCTAAAACAAACTACTCGATATTTGACTCGAAAAGCTCTTGAGCAACTCGAAAATATAATATATTAAGATTTTATTTTAAAAAATAAATTAATAATAATAATAATATTTATGTATTATTTTTTTAAAAAATACAGTAAAATTTTATGTATTTAAGGTTCATGTTCGAGTTTGAGACTTCAATCGAGTTAAGTTTAAGATTTTTTTTTTATTTCGAGCCTTTTCGAACTGCTCACGAGCTTTAGTTCAGGATTTTGAGTTCGAGTTGAGCTTGAAAATTTTATGCTCGCGAGTTTTCGAGTCGAGTCGAACTCTATTTCAGAGTTTTTGAGTCGAGTCGAGCTCAGTAATACTCAAGCTCGAGTCGGCTCGTTTACACTCCTAGTTCAACCCAAGCTCGGTGACAATGAACTTAAAGGGGAAAACATCAATTTTATGTATTTGCAGAATGAAAATTTTATATGTGGGCCGATGCAATTTCACATGAGTTTCTGGGTGAGGCTACTAGCTGTTCTCAATAGCAAGATACAAAGTTCCAAGTCTCGAGGCAACCTTTTGTTCATATCTCACAGAGTTAAGAAGCACAAACAGTTCAGTCATAACAGCCGATCAATGAGTGTATGCTTTTTGCATTACAGTCACATGTCAGCCTGCAAGGTAAATTCTCCCCCAAGTACCATTGATTAGGACATTGTCAACAACCTGCAAGACAAACAAATACACGAAACCTCTTTAGACACAACCGAATGTTAATAAATGCTCATGTCAGGGTGGTGGAAGAAAACTGGCCATTGTCAGCATCAATCTGCCATTGAGGGTGTTAGTGGCTCCTAAAAATGTAGTTAAGGGCAGTGCCGCCCCAAACTACCGGTATGAATTACTATGTTTTCAAGCCAACTGCCCTTGTCGCTCAAAAGGTTAGGGTTTGTATGTAGACCTAGGTTCCTAGTGATCCTAAACTTGTGGAGGTCCAGCAAAGCACTCTATTGATCTCAAAGGGATGTGAGGAATCACTTACCAGAAAACGCAAATGCATCATTTTGGATAGAGAATGTCATAATGACCAGGGCGATATAGCAAGGTGATAGAAGGCTTGACAGGAGTGGAGCTACCACTTGTAGCATTTGACTTATCACCCGAAGTAGGAAGAAAATCATGATGGTTTACACTGACACCACCGACATCACAAGAGCTACGATCAAGGTACACAACACGAATTGGCACACCCAAAGAATCTGAAAGGGAGGTAATGTGCACATGATCACTCTCTTCACCCATTGGCTCTACGGAAGATTTGCAAAACTACAAAACAGATTATATCATGAGAGGGAAAGTTGAAGTCGCCAACTTACCAGAATGCATCAGAATTAAATGTGATGCAAAAGAATTTAGGTATGATTAAAAAAAATGACTGATGTAAACCGTTCAATAGCATAAATACTAGCACAATACATGACTTGGAGAACAGTCGAGAAGACATAAGGAAACAGTTGCTGTATGTAATAATGCATGAAGGGTTATTTTGTAAGCATGCAAAAAGTTTTATTATATTAAACAAACCTGTTCTACCGTTGCATTTGTTAATCCCAAAATAAAGGGTTCGAAGAACTCTGAACGCTTTTGTATTTCACCAGAGGTAACAAATCTGAAAAACATTACAACTAAACAACAAAACTTGTCATGAGATATACAAAAGAGAAAGACACGTTACTCCCTCAATTTTTTACCCCACTCACCATAGTCGGAAATTGACTGATCTCGACTCCTTAGTATTAATTCATCCTGACTGACAAAGGGGGAAAACCTTGTTAAGAAGCTCAGACTCATTTAATTTCAATAGATATAGGCAACTAAAATATTTGGTTTCAAGACCTATGATTATCAGTTGGTTATGGTGGTCAGTACATGTGGCACTAAAAAGGAAAAAAAATCAATTTAAACCGAGGAAAATATCAAGGCAAAATAAAAAGATGTACACACCTAATGGAATCTTCATTTCCTTGAAGAACGCAGTCCAGTTGCTCAAGGAATAACTGAGAATTTTATACATAGAAGCACATATAAAAAAATGGTGTTAGAGATGCCAAAACACAATCAGGTGCTTCATGACGAAAACTTTCAGCCTAATAACAACAATATCCAAAATAAGTAATTTTAGAAGTAAACAATATATCAAGACATTTCTCTCAAAAAGGACTCATAAAAAGAAATAGAAAACTTTGTACCAAAAAAGAACACAGGAAAACTAAGTCTTCAGCTTAAGATGAAACCTAGAAATTAAAATATTTATAGCTTCCTTAATCTCTACGGGCATTAAACTTAGAGTTATTTTAACCAGGATAAATGCTAAGGGCTTTGTCCTGAAGAAAATATGAAAACGCATGAGCAAACATTAAAACATCTGATAACAAATTGTAAAATAACCCCCATCATGTCTTATATTTTGGAACAAAGAAGACACCCATGTTTGTAAATAGTATAAGGGATTGAAACATTGTTATGGCTAAATATTTCCTGAACATTTTTTAGGACTGAAGAACAAAAGCAACAAAATTATGTGGAACAAACCAGTGCCAGCATCCAACATAAAC